GGTTTTTGGCGCTGGCTTCAAAATCGTTAAGCCGCTGCCGACTCATTTTCCGAGCATAAGCTGGATCCAATCTCCAAAAACTCCGGTTAAAAGCTGGGGCCGGTGCGCGTCCTCGTGCTTCGCGATCAGAGTTCACCTTATCCCTCTATTGTATCGATTATTGAACTCTTCAGTTGCCAGTGGCCACGATTCCCACTCCTATGTCCATGGCCTTGCTACCGTACCGTAATCGTCACATGTCTTTTCTTACAGTATTTACTTTACAGTATGCAGAAATCAATACGTTTCATACGACTAACAGAGCCTTGCTATAGAACCTTGCTATAGGTAACGCTGCCGCACGTGTAGCTTTCATGAGAAGTCCAGTCAGGCAGAGGTTACCCCACCCCTAAGCGTTACTATAGCCTCGGGAAGATGGAAATGGAAAGCACACTAAATCAACGTGGTGTAATTGCGTACTCTCGGGTTTTTCCGCACCAAAAAAGGGCTATGCACTCACTAACGAGTTTTTACTACCACTAGTGAGTCCTCAACTACCGTAATCGGCGAGGCACATAGCACTTTCTTCGTCGTGCAACCGGTTCCATTTGAGTGCTAGTGCCATTTACCTACACCTATGAGTAACGAGATTTAGATGGACAGTAGAGATGTCACAGGTGATTACCAGCTACGCCATCGCCCCGTTCACTGACTGGGCCAAATCTCTGTCGATCTAGTACACGAACGATCATTAACAGCCCGCTATGGATAGACTCGGCCGGCTGGTTCAATAACACACCAAAATAGAGCGAACGTCCCCGCATTGCCCTTCCGAGGAATCCATTATGGTTGGGGTCGAGAAAAATCAACCAATTTCGCGGGTTTCCACCACATCCATTTCATGCATTATTCATAACAGGGCAAAGATAATGGATGAACCAGCACCAGACCTAGGGGACCAATGAGGGTCCACTTGATCTTCTACTGGGGAAACAAATTGCTCCTGTCCACCTTACTTGGTTCCCAGCAGGGCCTCTCATTGTTGTGGAACGCATGGAGCTGTTTTTTGTCGCTAGAGATAGAGGTCTATTGCGCCTTTGAAGGGATTTTCCATTCGTGAATTTTCCCGTCTCATGCGCGCTATATTTACTCCTTTCCCCACCCTCGTCCGCCGGTGAAATTCCGGGAACAGGGCACATCGTTGTTGGGGAATCCCCAATAGGGGGGTCGTATTTGGGCTGGAAAAATTTATTTTGATAGTTGATTTTTCTCGCTTCACGGACGTTGTAAAGGGGGGGTCGTACTTGGTCATTGTTGGGAGGGGGTCGCTACTGCGTCATTGTTGGAGGGGGGTCGATTTATGAGTTTAGCGTTGCAGGAGAGGTGCGTTGATTTTTGGATGATTTTCGTGATTTCTGTTTCATGCCTACTATATGCCCCCCCCCCCTCCCCTCCCTCCCGCCCCCGTTCCGCTCCGACGGCTCACATCTCGATTCGATGAGGGAGAAACAGAAGGGCCGGCAGGGGAGGGGGGGAGGGGGGGTAAAGGGGGTCGTACAGACTCGACTAAAATCCCTAACCAATGATGTGCCCTGTCCGAGAAAAATTCCGTAAGAGGATGCGAAGGGGGGGGCGGTTGCGTATTCTGGGAAACTTTTCAGCAGCGCGGTGATTTACCCTGGTTCTGGGTTTTCTGTAGGGGACTAAACCCTGACATGTGTTCATTGCTTTTGAATCATTGCGGTAGTCCAAGGTTTGCATTCTAAAGGGGGCAATTCGGCCAAAGGGGGGGGGGACATCAAATGTTGCCAAATTTTCCCCGAAATTTCTGTTAGCCATAGGAGGGGACATTTAGCGTTGCAAGTGCTACATATAGTACTGTAGAAAGTATATGTAGCGCTATACATAGCGCATTCAAAAGACTGCTTTTGCAAAATTGAGCTAGTGGAACGTGAGGGAATCGGTGCACCCCCCCCACTGTTTCCTCATTTCATCCTGGGCTTACGGTTTAGCGAACATCTCCACCTGCACTACATTAGTCTCAGTTTTCAAAACGGGTCCCTTGAGTGCCCTCTCCCCTCCCACCCCGTCGGCCGAATCGCGCCTCTTTTCTCTAGAAACGCGAGTGACAGGAGCTCCGGGACCAAATGAAACCACTACTTCATCGTCCGCCGCGATTATTGATCCTCATCTCTATCACGGTAATCTCCACTTTGCACATCGAGCCCCTAGGTGCCCCTCCCCCACCCCCTTCGGCCGTCTTGCTTTCACTTTCCTTTGAGATGGCGGCTGAAAGCTTTGAAGCGTAAGTGGAATGGTTCTCATCATCAGCAGGCCTTATTGATCTCCTACAAAAAAGGCCCCAGAGATCCAGAAGGTCCCTGGCTATCGATGAAACCAAATGGTAGTGGAGTGATAAACGCGAAGCCTCTGCTGCTCAGCGGGGGCGGAGCCTCGACGAGACGACGATGCGATGAAGGGGGCGGAGCCGGCGATCGCGACGACGACGGCGGTAATCTGCCAACGCGTCGCGCGAATCGTCGTTGCTAAAGCGCGAGTGGGGGGCGGTGCCTGCGATGTCTTCATTTACCGTGCTATCTCGTCCGTTGAGAGCTCTACTGGGGTTGACCCCGCGCAGATGATGTTACTGACACACTGGAGGTCATTCATTGCGCGACCTCCTCCCCTCATCCGTCGCCTCCCGTCGGGACACATTACGCCACATCTATTCACTATCTCTCTCTGCCCATATCCGTTCGAGAGCCATATTTCTTTCTGCCGTTTTCTGGAACATTCTGGAAGATTCTTGGCTTTTAATTATTCACCTAGTCGTTCATTCAGTTCAGTGGATTACTGTAATGCCTGACGTTCCAGCATTCGTCCTGTGAGCTACCATAATCTTATCAGTCGCATGTTGCGCCGATTTACCGGTCAACCTAGTGACGCCTTGCTTATTGTCGGTCCATTCGTCAATTCTTTTGTCCTGCTTGGTGCGGTCATTTCAACAGATTTTTTTTCACTTTTCGATATTTTCTCAATGACGGGCATGACTCTAAATTGTAGAGAATTTCTGCTGCTTGGTATTGGCTGTCAGAAATAAATATAAGATTTTTGGATATTTCGTTTTAAGGAGCCTAATCTTCGTGTTTTTCTTTTTTTCACTTGGAATTAGAACAAACAGAATCGCGGGTTCGTTCATAAAATCATTCTTATTATTATCAACTCTAGTCGCCCAGGGGGGGGTGGATGATTTTTCGTGCAAATACATAGTCGTCACGACAAGGACGGATTTTTGCCTGACTAGTTAAGCAGAGTGAGGAGTATTTTAAAAGAAACTGCCCCATAACTCTTGGGGATGGTTCCATTCCTAGTCAAACCAATCTGTTCTATTCTTTGTCTACAAATCATCGATATTCTCTCAGTCTCTGAACTCTTTACTGAGCCTGACGAAAAAAATTTAGGGTGATAGCCCTAGACAAGTGCCCACGAAAGGAGTATCTCGCGTCTGAGGATATCTCATTCAACCACAAAGCCTTTTCTTTTTTACGTTCCCTTCTCCCTTCTCTCTTCCCCTGTTCTTATTTCCTCCTGTCAACTGCTCGACCAGAAGACACAATAAGAAAATCCCTCTGGACCATCACAGCGGGAGAGTCGGTTCGCAGAAGCCCTGTAACCAGGATCAATACGAAATATTCAATAATATTCTCACGTGATCAATAGATTCTCGAGAGGGAGTGTTTCGCAACGCAGTAATCCAAGTTTTGCACAAACAGCCCTAAAAACGAACCCTCTCCGCCGGCCGATTTTCCCCTATTTATCCCAGTTGTGCAAACCCACTACAAACCCACGATCTCTTTCGCTTTTTGGCTATTCCAAACCATCAGATTCGTTTATTTGTTTTGTCACCATCGATGCCTAGTCCCCCAGATGGTGTCCCTGGTATCAACAGTACTTTAATAACAGTGACTCATCGAGGACAGATACGTTGTCGTCCCCGGTTGAATCATCGCTCCGACATTTTCAGTAGCTGTTACTTTATAATGAGTCATTTGTGCAGTCTTTCTACACAGCCGAAATCTATTTTTGTCGATATCGTAATCGGAAATTTATACTTTAGCAGAACTGGTTTAATTATAGAGTACTTATAGAGTATCGCCAGTCTAAAACTCAACCTCACATCACTACACTGACGATGTCAGACGAGCAGAAGATTGTACAAGAAACCGTGGCGACCACTGTGGTTGAAGAAGAGCAGGCACCGGCTCTTCCCACCTCTGAGCCACCCAAGGACGACGTGGGTAAACCGGTCGAGCCTGATGTAAGATTTCTTTTTTTGTGAATCACCGCTGCACTTTTTCTAAAGAGTGGTTTTTACTGCGAAATGGAGTGCGTGGAGTGTACACCACTTTTTTTGCTGAACGAGGCGGAGATAATAAGTCTTGCCTCGCTTTTAGCTAGCCTTTTTCTTTGATTTTTATCAGAGCACAGACTTTTTTTTCGTGGCGAGAGCTTTCAGCTTAAAATGTGGCGGGACTTAACAATTATCTTCTTGAAGAGGGATTTACTACGCTTTTAGGTCACCGAGGCACCGAAAACCGAAGATAAACCAGCGGAAGAGGCTGCAAAAGAGGAGAAGCCAGCCCATCGTATTTTCAAAAGACCTACTCTAAAGTGGGGTAAGAAACGTGACGAACCAGCTGCTCAACGAGAACCTGAGCAGGCAAAGGATATTCGCGAAGATGCCCTGGGATGGCTCGCGCAACAGATTCCGCCAGCTGTTCACAAGGTAAGGATTCTTATACTACGATAATTGGAATTGAAAAGAGTGCTTATATTCAGGTCAATTATTACGTATTGGACTGGGCCCAGAAATTGGCCTATGGTGATTCGGAGCGACCTCCTCTACCAGGCAAAGATGGTTCAGTGACTCGTAATCAGTTTTTGGCCTTTCTGGTGACGGGAAACTACTGACTGCCCTTGCAAATAAACTGCAGGTGAGTCATTCTAGCCATCAGTGTTCCGCTCACTTGCACTTTTGTTCGTCGTCACTGCAGCAGAGCGATTTGCAAAGCGATAGTGCGCACTTGATCAGAAGGATATTCACCTATAGTAGTTGATGGGAAATGTTTGTTGATAGATTTCGATGGGGTTAGGATTTGTTAAGCAACACTTCAGCAGGTTAATACTCATGTCCCAGTTGATACTTACGGGCAATGGCCTAATTATCCCTCTTTTTGCGTAATACGTGCTTGCAGAACATTGTTTCGCAATACGCGGGCTATTGTGTAAGTCAGATCCTTTCCTTGGTGTGAATATTACCTGATGACGGGATGTTCGCGAGTAAAGCTGGAGTATTTTCCCCAGTTGGTTTGCGTAAGGGACATGGTAATCCTCGAGGAAGTCTTAACCCTTTCATAAGCGCGTCTAGAATAGTGAACAATCCATTTGCGGAATATTTTCATACTCTATACTTCCTCTTTTTCAGCCTGGAGCAGTGAATGTTGAGCCTGAGGTAACAGCAGAGGCGGCTCCGGTGACTGAGTCTGCTCCTGCAGCTGAAGCAGAAAAGCCGGCAGAGGCACCTGCTGAGCCGTCCCAAGAAGGAGGAGAGAAGAAGGAAGAACCCGCCGCAGAGCCAGCAAAAACTGAAGAGAAGCCTGCCGCACCAGCCCAGAGGACCCAGAAAGAAAAGCAGGCCGATCTTATCAACCAATTTG